GTGTGTGTGTGTGTGTGTGTGTGTGTGTGTGTGTGTGTGTGTGTGTGCGCGTATGTGCATGTGTGTGTGTGTGCGTATGTCCGCCGAACGTGCGTGCGCAGGCATGTGAATCGGCAGGTTTTCAAGCGTGCGTCGTTCTTCTGCCGCAGAAGGCGGCCTGCCTCAGACACAGCCTCAGCCTGCAAAAGTCTGCGAAGCAACTGCGAGAAGATTGATTCATGCGATCCCCCCACCATGCGTTCTGCATCTGGAAGCGCCGGGCCAGCCCGGGGTTGGCGTCCCGCATCATCTCCTGGGGGAGGATACGCGGGCCAGGCGGCAGGCGGTCACTGCGCCCCAGACCCCGGGTGTTAGCGCGACATCACATCCAGGGCTGGCCAGCGGCGCTTGGCAAGGGAGCAAAAGGCGTTGCCGTTGCCTGGTGTAGAACGCACCAGTGAGCGGGGCAGTCGCGGACGAGAATGGGCGCGTCAGGGGTGGGGGCCTCACCTCCATCTGCTCCCTGTAGCCGAGCAGCAGGACGCAGCGGTCGTCACCCGGCACGCCCTGAACCTTGGCCACCAAGGTGTCAATAACGGCGACCTGGCGCCGGTATCGGGGTGGGGGGGGGCGTACAGGAGGAGGTTCACCAGTGTCGGTCACCATTCAGTTCGGGGTTGCAGGGACGGGCCGATGTGTTTACCAAGTGAATCCCTGGTGCGTGTCTGGTCGCCTTCTCATGGCGTCCAGAATCTAACATGTAAAGGGCACAGATTCATATCAAACCGGGCACCACGTTGCAACACCTACCCTGTATGGGTCCTTGGAGCCGGCCGTTGTGTGAAGCCCTGCGACGTTGTAGCAGCGTGGCGACGGCGTCGCGGTCGCGGCCCAGCGTCAGCGGCGCAGCACGGCCGCCGCCTGCACGCGCTCCTTGTGAGCACGCAGAAACAGGGCAAGCTCCCTGCACGCCAAATCACCACACGCTTCAACTGCCGGGCCCGGCCAGATGCGGGCGGCGTCCACACCCCCTCCTCCCCAGATAACGCCATGCGTCGGTGCCCTGCCCACCGTAGGCTTCGTCGATGACGAGGACGCAGCCGCGCGCCTCCTCCAGGATGGCGGCCGTCTTCTTCTCGCTCTCGCCCAGCGCGGACCCCACAAAGTCCGCCGGCACCTGGGCCGGCAGGCACGAGGCGCCGCCAGATCAGCATCAGACATGAGGTGGATCGTCGTTGCGCGATTCAGCGCCAGTGTCACCAGTGGCACTGCCACGTAGTACTCCACGTCCGCGTGCCGCGCGCCTATTCAGAGTTTGTGCAGGCGCGTTGCACGGTTTCCTGCCGACGAGTGCGCTCCGCACACAGATCATGTGGAGCACTCGCCGGCGCCCTACCTTGACCAGGACCTCGCCCTTTGACAGCAGCCCCAGGTCCCGCAGCACGCGGCCGTAGATGCTTGCCACTGTGGTCTTGCCTGTGTCCAGGCGGGGTTGATCGAGGACGAGAGGTTGGATGAAGGGCGACGTCTGCTGTCTGAGAGCCGCCTGCTTGCATGTGTTTAGAGTATCCCAGCGCCGCACCCCACCGTGCCGCGCAGACGGCAGGCAGCCGCTTGCCAGTGACTGCAAGCCACCAAGCCAGGCCGCGAGGGTCCCCCAGCAAGAAGAGTTGCTCGGCCTGCCGCGGAACGCGACGTGTAGCCGACCATTTGTCAACCACACTCCAGACCAACAACCACAAAAAATGGCTCAGCTATTGAGTCAAACCCAGAGGCGCCCGCCCACCAGTGCCGGGGTTGCCCAGGAAGACGCGGTTCAGGCAGACCTCCTTGAGGGGCCGCTCCTGCTCCTCCAGGTCAGCGTTGGTCCTGAGGGTTGACCACGGTCAATGCACACACGGGCAGTCCGGGAGGGGCGGAGGGGGGTCGCCTCGGGCAGCAATGGGCACGTGCGCTCAGACGGATGAGGCAATGCGCACGGGTCCACGAAGCCGCAATAATGCCAAGGGAGCGGGGATTGCTGCAAGTGCGATGACGCACAGTAGTATGTGGCTTTTAGCTTGCAGCCAAACGAACGCATCACGCTCGCGATGGCGGCAGACCAGCCCAGTACTTCCACAGCCAGCGCACTCGATCAGGCCCAGCAGCGTCTGCACCGACTCCTTCACGCGCCGCAGCCCCCTCATTGCCTCCAGCTCCTGCAGCGCCTTGCTGCCCCCCGCGTCCAGCCTCTTGGGGCCCAGCAGGTCGTCCCTCCTGAGCAGCAGGGGGTCGGGCGCGCCGCCCTCGCGCCTCTCGGCCAGCACGCGCGCGGACTGGCGGGCGATGGACTGCTCGTACAGGTTGCGGACTGCGCGCGCGTTGCCGAAGCCGGCGCCGCCGGCGTCGCGCTGGCGGCCGAGCCTGGGCATGTGGTGGAGGGGGCAGGCCAGGAGCAGGGAAGGAGGCTGGAGTGCAGATGGTGGGGCGGATTCAGGCATTCAAGTGTTGAAGCTGAGGTTGGTACTTACGCATAAGACACAGACCACAGCAGGCCACGTTGGCTGTCTGGCCTATCAGACTAAACCGGACTTAAGAATTTTATCATAATGAATGTCCAGATTTGCTTGCAACAAAGAAACCTGAATGACGTGTGGCGTACACCGGCGGAAGGCTTGAGCCGGACAACACCTGGACCACCCCCCACCTGCGCGTCGCGATGCGCGCCCAGCGCTCGTCCTCGAGCTTGAACCCTGACTTGTCGGCCGCCATCATGCCCATGAAGATCTCGCACAGCTCCTCGTCGCCTGGGGCCAGGCGTTTTTGGATGCATGGCAGTGCCGCAGGCGGTTTTGGATGCACGGACGCATTGCAGGCGGTTTGCATGCACGGTCGTGTTGCGGGGGCATGGCGTTGCCCAACAGCATGTCGGTGATGTCCGCAACACCCTGGGAGCATCCCTCTGCTCCTGAGAATGACTGCCTCACGGGACAAGCTTGTTTTACCCACAAAAACCTTTTGTTTGCTGACAACGACTGTACAGCGGAAGCCCCTCCCCCTCACTCCCCTGTGCTGCGCTCGCGGCGCCACAACCACCGACCCCACCCGCCCGTCCTCGCAACCCCCTCCCTCCGGACACTCGCTGCCGCGCTCACTGTTGTCCTCAAAGGTGAACACGGCGGGGAAGCGGCTGGGCAGGCCCTCGTTGTAGGCCATGAGCTCCTCCATGGGGGTCCTGTAGCCGGCCAGCACCACCACCAGCTTGCCGCGCCGGTTCTCAGCCTCAGTCAGCAGCAGGTCCAGGACCTGGGCTCGTGCAATGTGGTTCGTTTTGTTTGTGTATGTGTGTGTGTTTGGGGGGAGATGGGCTTGGTGAGGCGCGTTCACGGGGTCGTTGGGCTAAATGGTCGGCGGCGGGGCTGCTAGACCCAACCAATGGTTGGGCGGGGTGGAGTGGACAAGGCATGTCATTGGGTGGGATGGTTGGACGGGGTATTCCGCGGGGTTGTTTGATAGAGTGGCGCAGGGGTGAGGGTGTAGAGTGGCAGGCTGAGGTGTTTGGGCGGGGCGGCTTGATGATATGGATACAGACCTGCAGCAACACTACAATCAACCAACATGATATACGAAAAAGCGCAGCTGCCGGCCTAGGTCACCGACAGCCTGAACACACTCTCCACGCAACAGCATTTTGTCGCAGGACAGAGAAGCAGCCGGGCAGAACAGTCCGCTCCGTGCGGCCGCCTGCCCCTGCGCCCACCTCGCGGCCGCCCAGGGGGTTGGTCTTAGGGTTCAGCTGGTATGCCTCGTCAATAAACAGGACACCCCCCTCCGCCAGGTCACCATCCAGCGCCTTCTGCAGGTCAGCTTTAGTCAGCTTGGCTCCGCTCGTCTCCACCACCGCCGGCCCGTCTTTGGGCGGCGCCTTGGGCGGCGCCGGCTGCGGCGGGGGCGGCGCGTAGGGGTAGCCGACGTACAGCTGCTGCTTGGGCGGCTGGGGGGGCGGCGGCGGCTTAGGTGTGGGCAGGACCCCGAGCTCTGACAGGAGCTGGGCGTACAGCCGCGCCACAGTGGTCTTGCCGGTGCCTGGAGGGGGGCGCGGGAAAGCATGGGTTTGCTGCATTGGAGGACGCGGGTAGCTGCTGTGTGGGCCCGGCTTGCAGGGCCCCTGACCAGGTTTAGATCATCAGCAGCAACAGGGTTGAGAGGGGGCAGCAAACCGCAGATCAGGCTGCGCCAGCTGGCGCGATTGAACCTACGGCCGCAGCTGAGAATTGGCTGCTGAGCCAGGCTGATGCGGCGCTGCCAGGGTGTGAGTAAGTTGGCTTCATGACCCACCGGGGTTCCCGTAAAAGCGGATATTAGCATTGCTGGGGTTGGGGGATGAGGGTGTTTGATCAGGGTGGAGGCACATGATACTTGTCCGTCAGAGTGTGGGCCAATTACAGCAGAGTGTCGTGTGTCGACACTGTACGTGCACGGGGCTCAAGCCAGACGGCCGCCAAGGAGCTGCAAAGTGCAGGCCTCTGATCTCACATTGTGGCGTGTGGCGCCCACACGCAGCGTGGCCCCCCTACCCCTGCTGTCATTGTCCTTGTTGCTGACTCACAACGTGCTCAGCAGCGGCGCCCTTTGGCTGGCGTCTTGCTTACCGGGAGTTTGGGGGCCGGCCGCGCTCCTTGTCCAGCTCCACCTGTCAACAACACATATTTGAATCACGCGATCACGAGTCAGCCCAGCTGGACGGCCAGCGCGATGCCACGGGTGCGGCGGCAGCAGCAGGCGGTGAGAGCGGGACCCTGCAGGCGCAACACACTCGTGAGCTGCCTAAGGGTGAGGCTGCCCGAGAACAGCAGCTGCGCTTGCGCCTTTGGCGGCGCGTGGTCGAACGCACCTGCCCCAGATCACCGAAGGACTCACCTCATCCCGCAGCTGCAGCATCCGCTCCTTCACCGCCGCCAGGCCAGTCAGCTTCATCACAGCTTCCAAGGCCGGGCTGCCCGCCGCGCGCCGCTCGAGCTCGCGCCGCCGC